CTCCATAGCTGTGCCTATTATGGAAAAAGCAGACTTCAAATCGCAAGGGATTACCCAGGGGAGAATTGACACTGGAGAAAAGCACATATGAATTATCTGAATGTGGCAAAAGCTTTTGTCAGAACACATCGTTTTTGGTTCACAGAAGAACCCACCCAGAAGAGATGCCCTACAAGTGCTTCCAATGTGGTAAACGCTTTAGTGAAAATGGCAACTTGGTGATACATCTGAAGACTCACAGCAGGGAGAAGCTGTATGACTGTCCAGATTGTGGGAAACATTTCATTGGATCTTCCCACCTTGTGAGACACCTGAGGACTCACACAGGAGAGAAACCCTATGAATGTACTGTTTGTGGGAAAAGTTTCAGTCAGAATTCTAACCTGGTGAACCATCAGAGTACTCACACAGGAGAAAAACCCTTTGAATGTCCTCTTTGTGGGAAATGTTTCAGACAGAATTATAACTTGGTGATACACCAGAGGACTCACACAGGAGAGAAACCCTTTAAATGTTCTCAATGTGGGAAAAGTTTCAGTCGGAATTCCAGTCTGCTGTATCATCAGAGGACTCACACAGGAGAGAAACCCGTTTAATATTCTGATTGTGGGAATAGTTTCAGTCAGAATTTGAATCTGGCGATATACCGGAGGACTCACAGAGGAGACAAATCTGTCTTTGGATGATTCTGGCATTAATTGCTCTTTATTGCCCACAGGGAAATGTAACTGAAGGAAAAACTGATGAGTTTAGAGAAGACTTGCATTTCATTCTCATCTCTCATAAGGAATGTAGATGAAAACATATCTCAGAATTAGACTTGTAAGTGGAGAGAAAATGGAAAAGGGCTACCTACCAGTTTCTCGTTATCAGCAGCAATTTCATTTTTGCAGAAGTAGTGGAATTCCTCAAAAAGGCCTTTGGGTGGTGTTTTTTGTATATTGATTATGGAATTTCCACACATGGAATTTCTGTCTTCTATTTTGGTGTCCTCCATATTTTGAGCCCCAGAATTCCCCAGCCACCATAGAAGTAGTCCTCTATATACAACTATAATGGGGCCTGTTGAGTGAGATTAGTTTGCTTAAATACCTATCCCCACCCCCTTCTCTCCCTGATGAAGCTGTTAAACAAATGTTCAAGTCGTTAAGCAGAACAGTGGCTCCTTCAGAGTTGTGGGAATCTCTTGGAAGCCTAGCCTCCACTACCTGACCCTTTGGGTCCCCACAGTCATTTTCCTATTCCCAGTCAGTCCCTACAGTTGTTACGCCTGACTCCCAACCCACCAGGCATCACAGCCTCCTCCTTCTCCATACCTTTCGAAGATCTCTGAACCTCATGTTGGTGAAGGAAGGCAAGACACACATTTGTGGGCTTCATGACTGTGTCGTGGAAGCAGTCGTTATTTTGAATGTGCCTGGGATTCATGCCTGGGTAATGTGGCAGACTTGTGGAAGCAGCTGCCATTTTGTCATGCCTGCCTCTGTGTCAAAATGGTGGCTGCTTCTGGGTCATCTTCACTAAGACAAAGTATTCTGTTTTGCTCCCTTAACACTTTGTAGACTGTGTTAAGGAATTGTGGGTGCACTGAAAATGGTGGCTGCCTCTGGGAAATCTCCAAAAGGTCAGCCCAAGTATCCCCAAGCTGTATGCTAAGTACCACTTGTGCCAGTATTGTGCTATATAGTGCTGCTGCTGCTGGAAAAAGCCAATGCAGTCCCAGGCTGCATCAACTGAGGCAGTGGTTGGATTCAAAATTTTTTACTACCAGTTCTGTGGGCATGGCTTTTTTGGTGGGTGTGGCTTGGTGGTCATGTGACTGGGTGGGCATGGCCAACTGGACAAGGTGGTGTGATACCTTGCTGCGAGTGACGTTGAGTTGGCCACTCCCACTCAGTCACATGACCAATGCTGCAGAGACATTGTGATTTCCTATGTACCTTCCCCCTCCTACTCCACTCTTGGGCTCACAAAAAAAACCAAGTCCAACTAAAGATAACGTCTGCCTGTCGAGTCTACCTGCCGAATGGGTTTTGTTTTGGTGGTTTTTGTTTTGTTTTTTGCCAGAATCAGAAGCCGTTCAGAGATAAATTTGCACCACCAAATCTTACTGTACTTCATTGTTGCAGTGGTGCCTGTTGCGGCTGCAGGCGCTGCTGCAGCTGTCTGGCTGCCCAAGTAAAGAACCACACCGGCTCAGGGTGACTGTGAGGAGCAGGAGGGGAAGCCAAGGCGCTCGCTTCACAGCAGTCAACTGCGCTCTCTCTCAGTCCAGTTAGGCTCTCCTGGCGTGCACAAGAAGCATGAAGGAAGACTTCTCGTGAATTCAGGGGCTATACCTCTCCCAGTGATGAGTTGGCGATCTCACGAAACATCTTCCAGCTCTTAAAGATCAACTTTAAAAGCGCCACCATGGAAGAAACCGAGAACAAGAACAAATGTAGCGGTGGCGGGGGGTGACGGGCTTGTGATGGGTCCCTCTGTAGTCCCCTCCTAGGTGACAGCCAGGGCTTCGGCACCTCTTCTTTTCCTCAGAGGTGCATTGTCTGCCTCCCTTTACACTCCTTGTGGAGGGACACACACGACTGTCACCCCCTCTGTCACTACTTTTGCTCTTGGTTCTTGACTTCTTCCATGGGGGGCGCTCTGAAAGTCGACTTTTAAGTGGTCCCGGGACATCTGCCCGTCTTCCTGGCCAGCCCCCTCAGAGCACACTTTCTTCCTTCTCCTGGTGGATGCCTCTTCCAGCCCGGCCCATCCAGCCAGCAAGTGATCACATGTCCCAGGGCTTTTTGCCCCCCTTATCACGAGATGCCTGCAGCTGCTGCATGCTTTTTTCTGCAGCTGCATCGAAAAAAGCATGCCCTGTTCTATATGCCAGGCTTGGCAGGTCCGAGCAGCTGGTGCATAGAACAGGGTTGCACCGGATTGTTGGAGAAGTGGAGCGAAGCCGGAGATTAGTAGCCATCTCTTTCACAGCACAGAAATCCTCCTCGAATTGGCCAGCTGGTCTTCTCTTTCTCCACCTGTTTTGTATGGCCAAGGGGGAGGAGACCAGCTGGCTAAAGGGGCCGCTGCTGGAGGCGACTATTTTTCGGTCTCCAGCCATTTCTTTTGGGCAGAAATCCTCCCCAAATCGTCCGGTTGATCTCCTCCTCCTCAGCCATACAGAACAAATAGGCAGAGAAGGAGACCAGCTGGCTGATTCGGAGAGGCTTCTTCCACTGCGAAAGAGGCGGCTACTGATCTCCGGCTTCACTCCGCTTTTCCAATGGTCTGGCACCGCCCTGTTCTATTCGCCGGCTACTCGGACTTGCCAGGTCCGGCACATAGAACAGCGCATGCTTTTTTCAGTGTGGCTGCTGAACTGCAGCTATACCACAAAAAGCACGCAGCAGCTGCAAGGCATTTCGCGAGAAGCCCTGGGACATCCACCCACCCACCTGTTGGCACATCCACCAGGAGAAGAAAGAAAACATGCTCTGGGAGGGAGGGCAGGTGGGTGAATATCTTGGGGTTGCTGCACATGCGTACTTCAAGTGTAATAGCTGCACACGCAGTGCGCATGTGCAGCAGCTTTGGGACATACGCCCAAGCTGGCACATGGTAGGGAACAGTAGGAGAGCAACCAAGCCGACTGGGCGACCGAGTCGAGGGCGTTGTCAGCCAAGGTTCAGCAACCCATGCCGCAGCAACAGCTACTGGTTTGCCCAAACTGGGGCAAACTGGTTGAATACCATCTCTGAAGGGAGGCATAGTGTTAGGACAAGAAGAAGTGATAGAGTTGCTTTACACTGTGCTGGTGACAATAGAATAGTGTGTCCAGTTATGGTCATCATGATACAACCAACCCCATGTGTCTATGATTCTATGAATTTAGAGGCAGTTTAGAAAATAGGTCCACAGTAGCTCCCTGAATGTGCTTGTGGTAAACGGACTTTTTTTTAAAAGGTTATTTTATTTAAAATATACAGTGCAAACTCCAAAAACATAATTCTTTCAAAAGCCAAAACAAGGATAGGCAAAACAGAAGAAAGAGGAAATAAAAAAGACTAAAACAGATATACTTTTATTATCCCCTCACTGGAATACTCATAAACTTATTGGAGCAATATTAGTTTCCTCCCGTTCTGAAGCAGGCCCAAAATTTGTAAAATTCTACCTCTATTTACAGCCAATTTGACGTTCATCTATCTATGCTTTATAAAGGCATTATAATTAACAGGTGAACCAACTAAAAAATTAAACATCAAAGCACTTTGTTAACTATCTACTATTCCGTTTAATTTGTATAACATTTGGAATGGGTCTTATTTGCCATAAATCACCAGGATCATTGTCTCTGATTTGTCAGGGATGAAATATCTATGTTTGATTCTTATTAATAAAACTTTTTCTTAAAATTTAAGTTTAAACAAGACAACAGTTGTGTCTTATTCCCCCAAATCATAAAAGCTGTTGGTCGATCCATTTTCCAAATTGTTTCCCAGGTAGATATAGTAGTGTTTGACTAGATATCCAGTTTGTGCAATAGTTCATTGTAGAACTAGAAATAAAGAACTTACAAGAAATAGGGTATGTTCTAAGTCAAAAGAAGAAAATAGAACAATTGTTAAAAATATATGGAAAGTTGTGAAAGTGTGCAAACTTCCCCACTTCTCTAACATTACATTATGTCAACATACTTTCTTCTGATTGGTACTCGCACCTGTTGCCATTTATATAAATGTTGTGTTATCTTCAAATATTGGTATAACTCCTTTCACTTCAATATCCAAATCCTTTACTAACCATATATATCATGTCACCTCTGAAGACAATTCTGATAGAGCTATGAATTGTGTTGCAGCTGTGGAAATGGCAACTGAAGTCTGTTATCTAGATTTCCAATTAGCTACATGTTTGCTAACATTATAACAAATCCTGACATTGACTTTCTATCTTGTACGTCATCAGCCCAAATACTTTCTACAAAATTCAATCCTAAAAATCCCAGGTTCCCTTTTAGTAACACAATATCCTTTTAATTCCTCACCAGTGTTGTTGTGTAGGTTGTAAAGTGCAATGGCTTAAAATCTTGACTGAATTGGTAATATCTGTCCACAGTATGTGATAAATACTGCATAACAAACCTCCTAGGACTGCTTGGTAGAGTTCCGGATTACAGATCGTTCTATTTTTGATGGTTTGCCAATCAGGGGTCATGGAAGTTTGTAAACTTTTACAACTTTCCATATATTTTTAACAATTGTTCTATTTTCTTCTTTTGACTTAGAGCATACCCTCTTTCTTGTAATTTCTAGAAGATCTTCAAGGTCCCGTCCAGATCTATTCTCATTCTGAATACTATAATATAAAGACGATTGCATAAACAACTCAGTAACTCCAAAGTAACCAGGTCCTGTGGCTGGAAAAAAACACCCCTTCTTCATCACTGTGCTTGACGATTGATATCAGATGGTTTTTTTGATGGATTTTTTGGTTTTCATCAAAATGGCACTGTGCTTTATGGCCAATATCTCTACTTTGGTCTCATCCAAAGGACAGTGTTTCAGAAGTCTTGTGATTAGTTCAGATACAAATGTGCAAATCCAAGTGTTGCTGCCATGTCCTTTTTAGAAATCAGAGGCTTTCTCCTGGCAACCCTTCCAAACGAATCATACTTGTCCAGTCTTTTTCTAATTGTCATGAACTTTAACACTTAACGTGCTAAATGAGGCCTGTAGAGCCTGAGATGCAATGCTTGGATTTTTTGTAATTCCTCTGAGCATTGCACATCCTGAACCTGTGGTGAATTTGCTGGGACTTCCACTCCTGAGAAGACTGGTAAGTCTTGAATGTTTTCCACTTGTGAATGTGGAACATAGAATGATGGAGTTTAAATTGTTTGGAAAAAGTCTTTAAATCCTTCCCAGATTGATGGGCAGCAACAATTGTTTCTCTAAGATCCCCGCTGATGTCTTTACTCTTTGGCATCTAATTCACACCTGAATGCTGGAAGAAACTCCTACAACATTGGCTTTTATAGATATAGTCACACTTGTTGATGTTAATTGATCAAGGGGATTTGATCAGCAGCACTGGCTGCTACTTCGACTCTTCATACCTACGGGAGAAGTAAGAGTGTTTTAGTTTTTCAAGTCTCTGTCTTGGCTTTCTTTTTGTTAAAAAAATTGAAGACATGGGTATAATATATCATCTGTTATTGGTCATCTGATGTTATATTTACCTATTTTTAAACTGCAAAGGATGAGATTATTTTTACTATATCATGACACACAAAACTATATACCTTGAAGGTGTACTTTCTTCACATAACTGTATTTTATGATAACCCTTTGCAGGTCTGAAAATTTGTGATTGACCTTTGTCAGCAAGTGAATGTAATGATTGAATGGATTTTGAACTGGAACTCGGTAGTAAATATCACAATTAATATAAGAAGTTATTCTAGTATTGTGTCATATTTGCTTTTTCATTATAACATACACTTTTTCACATTTAATGCAACTCTTTTATAAACAATAAAAGCTACCTTTTCATTTCCATCTTACAGACAAAGATGATGCCAGAAGACCACATTGGACAACTGAGAATAACAAGCAATGTTGAAAAGCAAAGCAGATTGAGGCAGAAATAAAAATATTCTCCATTTCCATCAGAA